AAACCTGAGAGGCTCCCTATCACTGCGAGAACTCAGACCATCACTGCCATCCTTCTCTACATATTCCGACTCTGAGCTTTGCCAGAACTCCACCAGGTTCTGGTCCAGACTCCTTGGACCGGCCCCTAGGATGCGAACTCTAACTCTACGTAGTTGGCAGTGGGTTTTATAGGCACTACAGGAAACCTTCCTCTATGGAGGTAAACTTTGTGACCCTGTCCTGTTCTGTAACAACAACCGGAGGAAGAGGGGGTGGGGTTCTGAGCCAGGGAAGAGTTGAACTTTTCCTTCATCCATTTTCATTCAGTTAGAAGCAGAATAATGAGCCATTTAAAGTGCAAAACGATCCTCACCCCCTCAACACCAGCATGTCTTTGGCTGTGCTGTTACCCACCGACTCCCTCGCCTCGTCCGTGTCCCTCTGACCTCCAGCTCAGTCCGGCGGGGCTCAGTTCTTTTTAAAAAAAGAGAAAAGTCTCTTGTCCCGCTCAGAGAAGCGGCGCGCTCGTCTCGGGGACTGACTCCTCGTTGACCCGGACAGCGGGGTGCAGACCGAGCGCCACTCGTCCTGGTGCTTGTCCATCAGCTGCTGGTCAATCACTCTGTGCATATCATCCTAAAGCCAGAGACAGCCAAGTGAACCAGAGAGGAAAATGAGGTGGAAGCTAACAGAGACAGAACCGGAGCAGGGATGGGATGAGGAAAGCTGGTTACCATGGAGACTGGGCCTGATCAAGTTAACTGTTCTCAGTCCTTCCTGTTCAGCATTACTGAGGCCACCGTCCCAATGCAGCGCTTACCCAGATTCAGACCCAGACTTGGACTAGGCCATTCAGCACCCTGGTTACGACCCTGTAATCCTCCCCCTATTGATGTGCAACAGCTACAGCATTTCTAAGGTCAGTCATATTTTGTGGAAACACATCTACTTCCTTCAGACCTGCAAACCGTGAAACCCTCCTTCCTAATAGAGCTGGGACCTGTGAGACTCATCAGTAAATGAAGCTGCCTCTGACATCTATAGTAATAGAATCATCTGAGTGTCTAATATCCAAAACCATCTAGAGAGATTTTTTTAACCGTATATCTACTAAATCTAGCGAGGAGTCTCTGAATTTCTACTTAGATTTTGGAATGTCCATGCTTATAGAGTC